AAAAAAAAAAAAATGGAGAGTCTTATTTTTTAAAGTAACTAAATGTCGTTACTTAGGCTTGGAGCACACCACAGGACCTATAAGACTAACAAAGTACAAGACTTCAATGTACGACGAATCTACCGCCACCCTAGCTACCACAGCCCTGTCCGGTATGCTCATGACATTGCCTTGCTGCGACTGGACCGACCAGCCCAAATTAACGGTGCGGTGCAACCAGTGTGCCTACCAAATAAAGGCGACCAACAGGGACGACAATGCACAGTAACAGGGTGGGGTCGACTTAAACATCTTGGTGCTTCTCCAGACTACCTCATGCAGGTAAGGAAAAAAAGAAATTATTAACATGGCTCTTAAATTGCGTTTGAGTTCCTCTTTTACTCGATATTTGATCAGCTTGCAACTCCTTCGCAATGTAAGTTTTTTTTTCTCGTTGTGTTTTGTTTTCCCTCAGAAAATCTCGCTGTAAAAGACTAAATTTCTGCTATTTTATCTCCGATAAGCCATAACAACTAGCATCACAAGCGATTCTTTCTTAACATATGAACAAATTAGGGAGATAAAATATTTTTGTATCATACACTCTAGAATCGATTAATTAGCAAGTTTTGCGGCCTTGTATGGATGAATTCTTGTTCTGAAAGGTAGTAAATCCTGTTAAAAACTTGTTTCCAGGTTAGCGTACCTATCGTACCGTACAGTACATGTCAGAAAACCTATCCAGGAAGGACCCACAAGAGCATGATGTGTGCAGGTCTGATTGCCGGTGGCAAGGACGCGTGCCAGGGTGACAGCGGAGGGCCATATGTGTGTAAAAACAGGAATGGCAGATGGTACTTGGAGGGCGTCGTCAGCTGGGGTGATGGATGTGCCTGGGCGAATAAGCTGGGAGTGTATGCCGATGTCCGTTATCTAAGGGACTGGATAGAGCGAGTAACGGGAATATAAAGGAAGGCCCGGCCCAGCTGTAACTATGTCTTCACATAGTTAACTATGTAATGAATCATAGAATAAAATAGCTCAGTGTTGGGCCTATTACTAGTGTTTCCTGTTGTTTGTATTTAGTTTAGTCTTTTTACAGTCAGCGACAAAAGTAACCCCTGGTCTCTCCAATCCACATAGGATAACAAAATAAAACTGACAAATCACAAGCCTAGAAAATAAATATAGTAAATCTTGTTTCAAACGGGACTTTTCTGAGGTTAAAATGTTTCGGAAGAACTATTAATTAGAGCCGTTTCAATGAAATATTTCACTTCAAACCGCTACGTAGGTTGTTAATTTTAACATTCTGTGTTTTGCTTTATTCTATTTTATTTTATTTTTTTAGTTTCCGGGAAGACTTTGCCTATTATTATTTTTTATTTTTTTTCCATTTCCGCGGCAAAAACTCGCTAAACCTGATACTTGCTAATGGCTGCCGCACTATTTTTTCCAAATAAGGTCAAAAACCGGAAAAAGGCTGGAGATTCTAGGAACCAATCAGAACGCTAGTAATGCATCATCTGAGGATCAGAATTTTTAATTAAAATAATTTGATGTAAGCTACAAAGTGGAGGCATCGGACAAATAAAGGGCAAAGGAAAGAAAGAGATTGGGGCGAAAGAAATGAACCTGATATAATGGCTTTGGGTTAGGAAAACATTAGAGGATCTTTTAGGGAAATGTGGGAACTTTTATTCTGTTTTCGAAAAATTGAGCATTTTGTCATAAATGGCGTTAAAATGAAATCTGGTCAGTTTTTATAGAATCTCGCAAAATACTATTAAAATACTACAATCGGAAATCATGAGCCGGTCTAGGAACTATATTAGTAGTCTCCTGAAAAAAGTTGTTCACTGAAACATCAAGTTACCCATGAGATGTTGTTTAATATTAACACCGGCACAGTAGCGAGGAAGTAGTAATCCAGCGTGAGCGCGCATTGTTGAGTTATATCAGGTACTTGTTTATATAAACGTGAAAGAATTTATCAGAACTCACTTTGGCGCGTTGGGCTTCCCTCGATTTTGGTTTCAAATTCCCAAGNAAAGGAAAAAAAGATATTTAGGCGAAAGAAATGAACCTGATATAATGGCTTTGGGTTAGGAAAACATTAGAGGATCTTTTAGGGAAATTTGGGAACTTTTATTCTGTTTTCGAAAAATTCAGAATTTTGTCATAAATGGCGCTAAAATGAAATCTGGTCAGTTTTTATAGAATCTCGCAAAATACTATTAAAATACTGCAAACGGAAATCATGAGCCAGTCTAGGAACTATATTTGTAGTCTCCTGAAAAAAGGTTTTTCACTGAAACATCAAGTTACCCATGAGATGTTGTTTAATATTAACACCTGCACTGCAGCGAGGAAGTAGTAAGCCAGCGTGAGCGCGCATTGTTGAGTTACATCAGGTACTTGTTTATATAAACGTGAAAGAATTTATCAGAACTCAATTTGGCGCGTTGGGCTTCCCTCGATTTTGGTTTCAAATTCCCAAGCTGTTATATAGATAAATGATTCACGCATCAAGTGATAACGTCATACAGTAAAAGTTTTTATCATATTTTCAAGAAATTGCACGTTTGGACAGGTCAGCAATATCCACGGCTCGGCTGTTTATTGTAACTCGAGATAGCACAAAGCCTACATCACGCGCGTGCAATACTGATTTATTATGCACACATAGTAAACCTGGAGGAAATGTCAAAGTTACCTCTCGTTTTGCATTATTTTTAAAATATATTCCATTTGGCCGTGCGCTGCGCCTCTTTTCCGATAGTGAATAGATGACGTCCAAATTCCAAATGGTACCTTGTTTTGACACATCCCCACGAGGAGAGGGACGCACATGCAAATAAAGTATTTTTCTTTTATAAAATGAAGTAAATCTGTTAACTGCTGAACGTAAGATAAAATAACGATTAAAAGTAGGGCATGTTTTCAAACGGATTTTCAAACAACTACCATTGTAACAACGTAATTGACTAATTTTTAATTATTTTTTTTTCCAAGCATACATTTTTAAGCTAGCCTAAAATCGGGTAGTCCATTGAATGGGAGCACTCTCTTTCTTATCTCTGATGTTTTTCTGCATAATGAATAAATTTCTGCTCGTGCGCACATTGAAGAAACAGCTGAGGACAACTAGTAGAAGCGAAAACAGCACTGCATGCTTTGGAATGCCTCTGTTGTTGTAGCTGTCAAGACAATAGGCCATTCCGAGTTGCCTTTTGCCTCCTTGTCAAAACGAATCTACGTGCTAAACCGTTCATATGAAAACGAGTTGAGCGTACAGGATCGTTTTCATGCAAATCAAATTCATTTCTGTAAAACCCGTTTTGCAACAGAGGCACAAGGAAACTCGGAAATGGCCCCTTGGCTGAATAGTGCGAAAAAGATAGGTTCTTATACAAAGAAGTTCCTTCACGAGATACCTTATTTTGAGCTCATGAATAATCGGTATTTCCAGGAGCATTTTACCTTGGCAGAAACCTCAGCTGTAAAATTAGTTTTACTTAGCAAGTGGTGATATGTCGAGCTCAAATTTTAAAAGAGCGATTGACTCTATGGAAAAAAACACGAGGATGACTTATGGTTTCATACGCCCCCCCCCCCCCCCCCCCCCCCCCCCCCC